AAATAAAATTAAAAAAAAAAAAGAAAAAAAAGAGCTCCAGTCTCCAGCATTATCTTTGGATGTGAGCTTTCAGTTTCTTTAGCCTTCTAAATAAGATGCACACCGAGAGAGACCCAGGGAGTTTCCATATCTTTGATTTTGAAAAAGTGCAGCTCCCATGATCCCTCTTGTCCTGCAGTTTCTATCTTCTTAGCTCGATTAGCTACTAGATGATCTATCTCTAGCATGCACATGGTCACTGTAAGCACTCGTATTTTTCATCTTGTCAACCTATATGATAAGTTTTCTAGCATAATTATATGTAAAATATCTATTTTGTTCTTCTAGAGATCCCTAACTAATAAATATTTTGGTTCTGAAAGTAGTTATAGAGAAGCAGAATTGAAAGGATAAATTTCTGTAATTGGCTCAGTGATTTCTGGAATTGGCTCTCACATGTGACAAGATTTAAAGTTGCTATTGTCACTCCTGATAATGTAGAGTACTGATAAATTGTGTGCAGGCTTTTTAAAGTAATATACCACATAGACCTACTTGATTATCCTGATTTGTTACTTTTGAAATGCAAGAAATTTAGTGATTCCATATACAATATTTTTGTACATTTCAGAAGAGCTAAAAATATAATGATGCAGACTGGTTTATCTGACCATCTCTGAGATAACCACCAGAGGAAAATAATGAAAAATTTTCAAATTAACAGCTTCAGAAGGATATTAACAATTTGAAGTCTTCTAAGTGTGCCATAAGGAGATTCTCTCTTTTATTCCCTACTGCGGAGAGTTTTTAGTTATAATTGGATCCCAGAATGTCAGGGTCAAGTGGCAGTGATCAATCACTGAAGGGAAGTTGAATATACTAATAATCATGGGTAATAGAATCAAAGTAATGTTAGAATTCCAGATATTTTTAGATCAATGAAATTGGTTATAATTAATGATAGTGCTCCCATCAGATAAGGTTCTGTAAAAGGTCAACAATTTTGTGCAGGCCACTCTGCCAACTTGGCTCTATGATCATATATACTTATGTTATAACTCCTCTGGTCCCCTCATGTGCACTTACGGGCCCATGGAATACTATCACCAATGGCAAAGGAAGAAAAGGGTTTCCACCTAAAAGTGGATTATTGCAGGAATATGGCCCTTTCCCCAGACATCCCTGATGGCCAGTGAATGTACAATGTCAAAGTTTGCACAACTTTGAGCAGAGCACCTGATCATACATTTTGCCTGGGGAAAAATGACCAGGTGTGTGTTTCAAAGGCTACATCCAATGGCCCTCTTAGATGCCAGGGATTTGGAAGGAATAGGACTGGAAAGTTGGTGACCAAGACATATAAATTAAGGATATGAAGATATTTGTGTCCCATGTAAATTCTTACAAAAGGGGATTCTGAGCAAAAACAGGTCTTTGATAAGTAGGTAGGTAGATGATCTATTCCATGAGTAGCGCTCAACCTCTTTCCTCAGCCACCCGTTATTAACAAAAGGTTTCCTGAGTAGTGTCTTAGACAGATTATACATGACCTTAGCAACATTGATACCCACTTCACAAGGCAGAACTGGCTACAGCTACAGCTGAACTTCCAATCTGCTACCAGCAGAGACAACACCAAGTCCCCACTACTACACTAACCCTGGTGATAACCATATGATTTAGTGTCAGGTTGATTATATAGGGCCATTGCCATCATGAAACGAGAAAAATTTTGTTCTTAAAGGAATAGACATTTATTCTGCATACTTGCCCTCTTTGCATGTAATGCTTTTTTGCCAAGATATCTGACTGCGGACTTGAAGAATGCCTCATCCACCATCGTGGTAATTCAAACAGCATTAGTCGTGGCAAAGGAACCAATGCTAGATCAAAAGAAGTACAGTAATGGCTCATACTCAGAGTATTTATTGGCCTTACCATTTCCCCCAATATCCAGAATCAGATGGATTGATGGACTAGTGGGATGACTTTCTGAAAATCAAGTTAAAGTCCTAGACAAATATTTATACCTCGCTAATCTGGGACAACATTCTCTACAAGGCTGTGTATACTCTGAATAAGCACTTAACTTGTGATACATTTTATCCCATAGCCAAGATTCACAAATCCAAGAATCAAGGGGTAGAAATACGATTGGTATACACCATTGCCTCCAGGCCACAAAATATAAACTTCTCGTTCCCTGAACTTTATAATCTGCTGACCTGGACATTTTATTTCCAAATGGGGCAGGTTTCTCCCAGAAGGAGCAATAATGATTCCATCAAACTAGAAGCTAAGAATTCAGCCTGGTCATTTTGGGCTTTTCGCATCTTAGTGTCAGCAAGCTAAAACAAGTGTTGCTGTTACTGGAGTGATAGATCTATGCTGCTAAGGGGAAATTGGGATATTTGTCCATTGTGGAGAGAAGAAATGATACACTAGGGATTAAGCAGATACTGTAAGTAATCTACTATTATTAACATACCCTGCTAATAACAACTAAATATTGTAGCAACCTAAGCCAGGAAGGATGGCAAGAGACTCAGAAACCTGAGGAATAAAGTTATGGTTATTTCTTCCAAGTAAAGAATCAAGACCTAATGAAGTACTTTCTGGAAGTCAAAGGAATACAGAATTGGTAGTAAAGTAGTTAGTAATAAATATCAATTAGAAGTGCATTTCCTGTTACCAAAATGAGGATTTTAATGTCATGAGTATTCCTTTCCTTTTATGTTAATGTACTTATGCATATATACACATATGTTAAGCAAATATCTTTGTTTTCTTCCTTTGTAAGGCAACATTGACTTAATATTGATACTTAATTATTATTAGATATACATCATAATATTAAAGTTACTGACTATCTGGAGAACAGTATACATAACCCAAAGTAAAATTATACTACCTATACTTTTAAAGAATTTAGTAATTTTCCATTTGTAACATGGATAATTTAATTACATTAGACATAATAATGAAATTTCTAATTAATTTGGTGGTTATATATGCATTAAGGAATTATATCTGGTGGTCAAGTTGATAAGTCATTAGTGGCGATTTTTAATCATGATATGTCAACTTAACTGGATTTAGAGCCAGATCAATAAAGCATAGTTCTTGGTGTCTGTGTAATTGATATATAGCCCAACACACTAAAGGTGAAATCAAGTTAAAGTCCTAGACAAATATTTATATCTCATATTCCCAATATGAGTAGCACCAACCAATAGGCTTACAAATTGGATAGAATAAAATAGGAAAGGAGCAAGAAGTATGCCCCGCTTTTTGAAAATCTTTATTCTCTACAATTATTTTTGGATATTAGTGTCCAGATTTGTCAGTCTTCCAAAGCAAATTTGTGCTGTGACCTTCCAGTGAGGTTCCAACCCTGGGACCTTGGAATGTCGCTGTGTTTTTGCTATCTCCTGTTTGCTGCTTTCGAGTTCTTTAATGAATAATTACTAAGTTCTCTGTCACTAGTCTATATACAGCAAAGGGATATTTCCAGCTCTGATCCCAAAAATAATTATTGGGTATTCTTCATTCTCTATTACTGTAACACTGACTGATAAATTCCCTGCATACATTTATTTTCTATGGATTCTATTTCTCTAGAGAATGCTAACCTCTACAACATGTAATGCAGTCCATATCGGTATGTATATGGATTAAACACACAGGTTTTTGAGTATCATGTGTCATTAAATATTCCTCTTTTGATATTTTTTCAAACATTTAAAAATTTTGAAATCATTCTTTGATCAAAGGGCATAAGATAACCAACAGGATATATTTGGTTTTCAATCTCTGGTTTGCTGATCATAAATCTAGATTGCTCCAATATGTTAGCCCTGATAGAGACAAAAAGAGAAAAAAAATTACCCAAAGCTTAGATAGAAAGACAATAAAAATACAGATTTCAATTGTAAGGATAGAAAATATATATCATAAATGACTTAGAAGAATAATATATTGTCCTTATAAATAATTTTTTTAAATAATAAGAAAACCGTGTCTTCTGCATCAAACTCAATGTTTAATTCTCAGGGCTGGGGATTTAGCTCAGTGGCATAACCACCTTCCTGGCAAATGCAAGTTAGTGAATTTGATCCCCAGTACCAAAAAAAATTAATTCTCCAAACTATATAGGTGAATAGAGAGAAGTGTAAGTTCCTCTAAGTAATTAAATTTGTAATGTTCATTTGAAAATATTTTATACATTTTATGTACAAATTAAATTTGTAATGTTCATTTGAAAATATTTAATACATTTCATATGCAAATTAAATGCTTTATTTAAAATATGACTAGAGTAGTTTTAAAACTAGATTTTTTTCAGCATCTAACCTTAGGAAAAAGATCCACACAGGATTAGAGATTTAATAATGAAGAAAGTTACACTATTACATGCATAACTCCTATTGCACATCCTGGGGTCAACAGAGAATAGATTTTACATTCCACATCTATAGTACCGTAAAGTATAAAGTTGATACTCTTAGTTTTTCATGCAGTACTAGAAATATATTTGAACTTCACTGTAGTTTATAGCAATTTAAGGAACCAAAAGTAGAAGATAATATTCTCGATATGGTATATGTACTAAGTAAGCATTTTGTTTTGCTTTGTAGAATATTATTTTATAATTATATTTATACAATATGCAGTGTTTTTATCTTGAGAAACTGGCACATGTTTATAATAACACTTCATGATATATACTCTTTCCCCACCCTGTGTCCCTCCTCCTTCCCCAAGCTCCCTTCTCATCTTCACAAAATCTACCTTGCAGACATCTCTTTTATTTTTCCCTTTAAGTTATTTACATTTATGGTGTCTCATGTTAGAGGAACCAAGTAATAGTTAACCTTCTGTGTGTGATGTATTTAGCACTATGGTCTCAAGGTGTATCTATCTTCCAAAATTAGACCTTATATTATCTCAAGATTTTCATTTAAAAATTCAATTATCACTATCTTATCAGAATTGTAAATCAAAAAGAGTAATTTACTTGGTTTTAGGAATATTACAATTTATTTAAGTTTGCTTCTGATGAAAATTATCTTACACTTTTAGATGAGATCAGGCACATTCAGAGTGGTACTGGCCAAAGACATATTTTACACTTTCATTGTTCAATATACTACATGTCTTACTACTAGTTATCTAAAATTAAATCTGAGAGTGGGTCTAAGAAGATTCACACTGAAAAACAGTAAAAACAAAACAGTTAAATATACTTTTCACTATGGCACTGACAGTAGGAAAAACCATCATATGTAAGTATATGTCTTTAAAATATACAAATCCTAAACTGTAATTAATATCAAAAAACATGATGCTTGACAACATTATTTAAAATTTTCTGGTAATATTAATTCCCTTATAGTGAAAATTATGGTACATTTCTATAAGCCTAAGGATTGAAGCAACAGCACAAATTTTTCTTTGTTTTAGATATGCTCAACAATTACTATTTTTTTACAGTCTAGTAAAACAGTTTGATAACCTGTTTTTATCATGAGAATGTAAAGCAAAAAAATCAGATAAACTTGACTTCTCTTTGCCGTCATTTTGTCTGCAATACGTAGATTCAAATGTGTCATTTCCTATGTATGGTAAATGCAAATCATTTACTATCAATAACACATCAAACTTCTTATTCCTATGCAATTAACTTATTTCTCTTTGATTAACCTTACCCTCACACTGTCCAGTCTCTTTTTTCCATTATTTTTTAAACAACTATTTTCCTTTTCATTTCTAGAACAACAAGATTTTTTTTTTTTTGTATTTTGGTGCTGAGGACTTAGCTCAAAGCCTTGCACATGCTAAGCAAGAAACCTACCAACAAACTCTATTCCTAGTCACAAACAAAATATTTTTGTATTTTGTATGTGGTTGAGATTCTACAGCAGTCATTTTTCCTTTTCCTGTTGTATTCATTTAGCGTAATGATCTCCAGCTTCATTTTTTTTTTTTTTGCAAATAACATTTCATTCTTCTTAAGACTGAATTCTATTCCATGGCATATATGTGTCATATTTTTTAATGAGCTCAGCTGTTGATTTACACTTAGTTTGTTTTCATTTCTTTGCTAATTTTAAAATCTTGCAGTAAACAAAGAAGTGAAGGTATCTGTTCAACATGTTTATTTCCTTTCCTTTGGTTATATTCCAGCAGTGAGATAGATGGATCACATGATAATTTTATTTCAAATGCTTCAGAAAGCTTTATATTGTTTTTCATGTGGTTATACTAAGTCACATTCCCACCAATAGTGTGCCAAAGTTCCCTTTAATTTACATCTTTGTCATTTTTTAATAACTACTCTTTTTTGTAGAATGAGTTGATATTTTACCTGTAGTTCCTATTTGAATTTTCTGATGATAACTGGTATTGAGTATGTTTTCACATATGTATTGGCCATTTGTGTGTCTTCTTTTAAGAAATATATGTTTACTGCCCACTTTTAATTTTAGGATATTTGAAATTTTACTTCTTTAACTTCCTTGTATGTTCTCAATAATCTTATCAGATGTATAAATTAAAAATATTTTCTCCCTTTCTGTGGTTGTCTCTTGCTTATGTTGAATTTTTGCATTGTTGCAAAAATAACTTATTTATTTGATGTAATCTCAGTTGTCTGCTTTTACTTTGACATCTAGTGTTTGTTTGGGTCTTTTCCAAGAAATTCTTGCCACTTCAGTGTCCTGAAGTGTGTCCTCTATGTTTCCTTCAAGTAGTTTAATAGTTTCACATCTTACATTTAAATCTTTAATGCATTTTAGTTAATTTTGTAACTAATGAGAACATTAAAATCACAAATTAAAATAGACAATGTAATATAATAATTAGTGATATTGCTTTAGTCTTTTATAGTTATAATGACAACATTTTCTTGAAATAAAATGTGAGTAACAAAATGATCACATATACATTTGGGGAAATTTCGTACTTCCTAATATTTTCTTGAGTTCCTCTGTTATTAATATTTTCCTTCATGCTAGATTTCAAGTATTTTTCATTATTCACAATAAAATAATTTTATGATTTACATTTACTTCAAAAGAGAATTACCCTGTTTTTTAATCTGTGCACAATTCTCTATTATACAATGACTTTTCTGGGAGCTAAAGTTTTCTGTCTCAAGAGAGCAACTACAAAAGAAAGCAATGATTAAAATTGCATTTGGCGTTAGCATGGCATTACTGTTATGAGAAAAAGGGGTTACACTTTGATGGAAATATATATTTCTTGAAATATAATGCAAAATATTGCAAGTGATGCAAAATAAATTGCTTGTTTTTGGAATATACCTTGTCGGTTTTCAATTAAAATATAAATTAACATTTATTGAAGAAAGATACACTGATTAAAGCAAATGTTCTATCATTTATTAATTGTAGTCAAAATTGACATGGGTCCATTTATTAACAATATTATAGTGTTCCTAGTATGTACTGTTTATGCTTTAAATGATTACAAACATCTTGTTTAAAATCAAGTAAATATCAGTGTAACAAGTGTGATAAATGGTGAATGAGATTCTGAAGTCAGTCTTCCTTACAGCAAAAAACACTCCAATTTAAGGGATCATGTATTTTTCCTTCAAAATTCTGGCATTCTCAAGAATGAAATTTTTAAGGACTATATCATGCAGTGGAGTGAATATATATATATATATATATATATATATATATATATATATAGTTCAGAACAACTAACTTCCATGCTTACACTGAACTCAACAAAAGACCATGATGGTACTGATTCTTTGGCTCAGTGTGCTGAAAATGCAAAGCAATATGGCAAGCTGATGAAAGCAATCCTCCAAGTTCTCCAGTTTCAAATTGTGGAGATAGTAGCAATAAAATGTAACCGTTATTTCTGATGAAATACGCAGCTTTGATTAACAGGACAGGATGTTTCCTAAATGCAGGACATAAATACGAATCTGTTTCTCTATTTGTTCTTTTAGCTCAAGAAAATGAGTAATAAGCAGATTTATTTTAATAAAGCATGACTCTGTTTCCTGGTATGACTACATCTGATTAGGAAACATTAAATCAATCACAATTTGTGAGATGATATGTCTTCTATTCTTTTCGATATTGTCACAGATTATAAAGCAATTGAATGATTTGTAGTTATGAAATTATCCATGTCATAAATGTTGCTCTCTCCTTTCAGCTGCTCAAGAAAAAACAAGCCTTTGGTAACTGTAGTTCTTGTATGCTAACAATACAAAACAAATTACCAATAACCATTCCTGAACTAACATATGGCCAGACATATTCCTCTGCCCGTTTGTTTTCTTCTTTCCTATAATTATGCTCCATCTTTTTGCTTCTTTTTCCCATCAATAGGTAAATTTACAGGAAACCTTACTCTTGAAGAATTTTTATCTCAGAAAGTTCTCATTCTTGCCATATGATATAAAAATAACCACTGCAGCAAATAAAACCCATCCAAATCAAGTAAACATAAGTCAAGGTTGCTTGATGACTACCACACAGGCACCAGCTCTTCCAATATTCAAGGAAGCCATCTGTTGAAAGAGATGAGACACAATTTAAGACAAATTTACTCTCATAATTAATCATGCAAATTACAATACAAACTTCATATAAATGAAAATCATAAATAAATATGCTTTCATTTTCTCATTTCAGCAAGAAGTAATGCAATAAAAATAAACACTAAAGTGATATTTTAAAGGTAATAATTTGTATATTGAGTTATAACACCTAGAAACTTTAAGACATTTTTATTGAAGAAACTAAAATAGACACTTAGTAAAATGAACCTGCTATAGAAAATTTTCTTAGAAATATTTATTCTGATGTTCTCATAAATACTTTTGTGATGTTATTTTGTAGTAATAGCACAGAGGATATTTTAGAAGAGATAGCTATTGCACGTCAACCATTTTGAACTGATTTCCCCAGATACTCTATTGCGTTAAATGTCTTATTTATTCGAGATAGAAAAATACAATGAAGTCACACCAATATTTTGGTATAAAGAGACAACGATTAAAATTGCTATTTGGCTTATTAACTTTTTACCTTATAAAAGTAATTGATATGAGAACTTAATATTGTAAAATAATATCGAACGTAAAAATGGTTAGATATATTGTGTCTGTTTTTTCTTTCACCAGAAATCAAATTCGGTACCTCACTTATATGGCAGGCAATTGCTTGTACCACTGTCTTATATTTTTGTCCTAATTTGATGTATGAAAACAACAACTTTTTACAGAATTTATAATGAAAACTTATTTTTTAGTACTTTGCTAATATTTTGAGAGTTTTGATATCATCTTTCAATGTTTCCCTAAAGATATAGGGGTAGACTAGATATTTTAAGATATTTCAAATTGAAAAGAAAGTGAATAAAATGTAAGGAATAAAATGGCAAAAAACAGAAGATTCTGATCACATGTCTTATCTTACTTTACAAAGGACATGTTCTCATTTTCTAAATACAGAAATTAAGTCTATTATCTTACAGCTCTTTTAAATATATTTATTGTTAACCATCATTCCACTGTTGGTTAAAATAATTTATATATGTATTTTTATTCCTTTTTCTTAATACAAAATTTGTAACAGTAATTTAATGCAACATCATTTTCTTTCTTTAAAATGTATTGTCTAAATGAGATGATAGGAACATGTGAATATATCAATAGTGTCTTTTAAGTAAAGAATGATTTGTACAAGTTACTACAGTCATTTTTATAACCACATGGTGCATTGCTTTTTTTGTTTTATGCTTCATTTGGCGGTTAAGTCTCACAATTTCTAAATATACAACTACAAGTGTAACTAACTCCAAGATGCATGCACTTAGCATTTCTCACATTATCTAATTATTTTAAAGTGTTGTTTCATATCAGAAACATATAAAAAACTTTGCAAAATAGAATCTAACACCAACTAGAAATATCATGACTACTGGGTAACTGTACTTTTAAAAATTTCTTCTCCGATGCCTTTTGATGTTCATTCAGTACTGAAGATCACTATGCACTGAACTTCATAGAGTTTGAGTAGTGTCACTTTTTATCCATATCCTCCTCTATCTCTCTCTATCTCTACCTCTGTCCCTATCTCTATCTGCATCATCCATGTCTTTCTATACAGGTCTGTGTATATATGTGTGTGGGGGGGACAAGCCCCTTCAATTAAAAAAGTTATATATATATATATATATATATATATATATATATATATGCTACTTCCTTCCATGTTTCACATGTCCACAAATGACACAACTACTGCTAAGTCATGAAGAAAAATATAAAGCACCTTCATGACCCTTTGATTTATCTCAACTTTGCATTCGAATAGTCATCAAACCCTTCAAATGAACAGTTTAATCTTTCCATTCTTTCTGTTTTAGTCTAGGTTACTGAACTTTGACTAGATTAATAACATATTCTCTTAATGTTAGTTTCTTTCCAAGCTTATTTTCTCCTAATTCTTTTTTACATCCTGTCATGTACAATCATTTTAAACACAATTCTAGTTACTTTATCTACTTAACTCCTCTGGGTCTTAAAATCGAGGCTCTTTTTAGCATGATTTCTAACCAAACATAATACAAAAATGTCTGCATCTCACAATCCACTGCTCAGCCCTTTAATTCTTGCTTAATTAAACATGCCATGTGTTCTTCTTCCTCTTATTAATTCTGCTTTTGAGTACAGTTTCTCCCTATTATTTCATCTGGTTAGCTATTATTCATTTGTCCAGCCTCATTCAACATATCATTTCCTGAAAGATTTTTCTAACTTAACTTCTATGATAGTGGTAATTATTTCCTTTACCAGATAATTTATTATAATATTTTAAACTCTGAGTATGTGTTTCATGTATACATTTTAAACATTTAAGAGAGAATTTTTCAATCCAAAGCCCAAATTAATTTATTGGTTATAATCTGCACTTTTTCTCTTTAGAGTTTATGTATTTCAGTATAAGTACTGTGACATAATGTGAAGATCGGCTACAGAACCAGTTAAAACCAAGATAAAACCAGATAAAACCAAGGGTTCATGTTGGTATCACACCAGGCTTTCTTAAAACTCATTCACAATTTCTCACATATATTTATTTTGTGCTGAATCACAAAATATACTCAATCACTACAGACTAATCTTAGTTGCCACAATATTCTCAATTAATTTATGTGAGAATCGCACAGATACAGACTACACATACAATATTCTTCTAGGGTTCAGAGACAAAATACTACCTGAAGCACTGTGATTCTATACTGTCTGCTGATGGGCAGAGCAGAGCATAAGACCACACATGAAAGTGTGATTTTTATCTAGGTTACTGGAAATGAGATAAAATATTTCTTTATCTTGAAGTATGAGTATTATATTTTTCAAACTAAGTACAATAAATAATCCCCATGTTAAAGAATAATGATAAATTTATTTACAACACTTATACTTGTATACACAAACACATGTATGTGAGCTTTGTAAAAAGCACTATACATAAATATGGGAATTTCTCCCAAATAATTTTCATTGTTTCCAATTCTAAATAACTTGGAGAATTTTCCAATTATACATATCAGTGACCATTTTAATATTATTCCCACATTTATTCTATTGATAGGCATTTGTAAGGTTCAGTGACATGTGAGCTAAGTAATCATTTTCAACCATTTGCAGGTTAAATGGTGTGAAATTGACAGAAATTGTTTAGTACGTAGGGAGAACCTTTGTAATAGGCTCAAACACCAAAAGTTCTAAAGAGGTTTCTGTATGAGTCTGCTGATTTTCTCAGGAGAATCTTAGAAACATAATCAATGAAAGGGTACAGAAGTAAATCCTTAAAGTATTTTAAGAGATTTAAAATTAGTGTTTGTGTACTAAAATAAAATTATTGTAAAACATTTTCAATAGTGCTTTGCTGTTGGTAAGATACTATAGGACCCAAGAGAGTATAATAAAATACAAATGAAGGGAAATGGTCATTAGAAGCCTTTTATCTATTATTACTACATACATTATTTTGATTTCAATTTTAGAGGAATAATAAGCACAATTGTCCTTTATTATAAATATGTAATGAAGATATTATGCTACATCATTTATACACCCATAAAATTCCTTTATTTAATGCTCATTTGTATAAGGGGCACATCTACAATACATACCATTTAACTGACTTCTTTTTTAGCAAATATTCCACTTGGAAACACTAGAGACTCAAAAAGTCATACCATGTAGCCCACAGTTGTATTGAAATAATATGAGAAGCAATTATTATTGCTTTTTTTTATCATTGCTGCTCTTTGGACAGAAATGGTTCTTTTACAATTGTAAAATGTAGAAAATTGTGGAACTGAGTTTTGTTAATTGTTCTCATTTTTCTTCAATTTGTCTTTTTTACTTTCCTCATCTAAATGTATATCATTTTAGTGAATTCAATTTTTTTTTCTTTTAGAAAGGGCAATTTATAATACAGATACCTTACTCAACTTTTGGGAAAGTGCTTTGTGCTTCAAAATTAACCTAAGTAATGTTACTAACTCGTAACATTAAAACTGGCAAAATCAAGGAAGTTCTGTATATTTAAAAACCAAGATGCTTACAATAAACTTTCTTCAATCACTTTTCACTTCAATCACTTTTAGTCCTTTTCTGTGACCAAAATTAGAGGAATCCACTCACTATAGCACCTGTAGTTATGAATATGTTTCAACTAAGTAGAGTTTCGGCATGTCACTGCACTCATTGAGGGGAAATATTATTTATACAATATTTTCTTCTCAAATTTCTCACTAAAGAAAGAAATATTGGCAGTATTGAGAAATTTAGAAAGCAAGGGTCACTGGAAGGTAAGGGTGAAATCTGAGGATGCATCCATTCCCTTCTTTATGAGCAAGGCCAAGCAGCTATAGAGCACAAGGTACTCTCCACGCCCTTCCTCCTCCCACATACAGAACTCTCAACGCACACACTTCAGCTGCGTAACTAAAAAGGGATGCTCAAACATCTTGAGCCCCTGATCACACTGGCATTCAAAGGATAATTCCTGATCTAAAAGAAGTCAGTTATTTCTTTCTAACTTTTTGGGCAATATGATTGTCAAGAAATCAGTACTTGATCCCTGACAAGCTATTTCAGCACTTTGCTGTGCATTTTCCAGGTGAACTGGGACAAAACTATTTTATTTTCTGCTTATGGCTATGAAGATTAAGCTTGATTTTAGAAGTGTCATTAAGTAGAAAAATCTCTCTTAGTGAAAATATATATTGCCAGACAAAAATGAGAGGCAGAAAGGTTGAATCATGCAACTCCTACTTTTCATTCTAGTTATTTCTGAAACCGTGTATGTTTCTTAACATGGTGCTCTAAAGAAACATTGTATTTTTATTTTTTCTTCAACTAATTCAAATTCTGTTTCTGTTTGGTTTCTATTGTAATAAAGTTAAATTCCCATCAAAATATGGATGATTCCTTTTAATATAAATTAATTAAAGTATTTCATGTATAAGAGGACATTATACCATTATTTAATTTTTTTTTTTTTTGGTTTAACACCACGTTGTACTGAATCAATCATTTTTGCTTCAGTGTACTATGACCAGTCAGATTACTATTTGTGTCTCCATTCTCCAAAAGAAGGAAACAAATCTTATATTTAAAGTATATTGTGCTAGTGACAACCTTACCTGTGTCCACTCATTAGTTTGTGGATCATAGGATTCCATAGTGTTGAGGTATGTCTGCCCATCATAGCCACCAACAGCATATAACCTGTCACCTAGGAGACACACGCCAACCGCATCTCTGGGCATACTCAAGGGAGCCACCATTGTCCATGTGTCTGTTTTTGGGTCATACCTACAATTTAAAGACATTAGAAAATAACATACTCTAATCACCACAGTTTGAATACTTTGATTGATAGTATTTAAAAATATACCATGAAAAAGCAAATAAACACTATATTTCTCTTGAAAGTTCAGTATTTCAAAAGTTCAAACATTCTAAAACCAATATCCACAATGTTTCCATAATATCATATTTCAAATTTAAGGTATTTTTTTAAATCTAGATTTTTAAAAAGATACCGTACATAAATATGAATGGTACAATTGCTGCTCTGAAGGAAGTTTTATATTTGTAAATAATTATTTTCATAGCAATATGGGAATTTTTTTTAAAATTTTATTTAAGGAGAAAAAAAAGCAGAGAAAGGGTACAAGTTATACAGATTTACAGAAAAAAATAAACAGTAGGAAATCACTAGTTAATGGATTACATATTGTCATCTTAGAAATAATTGTTCAAGTCACAAAATTAAAGCTTGTAAAGTGGACATTCCAACAGTGAGACTGCAAACAGTTCTGTTCAATGATCCAATAAAACTCAGTGATACTATTTTCTATCTTATACACTTAAATATATCCGCAGTTGTATCATTTAGAGCACTTTCTTTTCCTCTCTTTTGTACAATGACTATTACACATTTTGGGTTTCATTGCTCCCACGGTTCTTATTACTTTTTTGGAAGAGAGTAGAGCCAAATGTGACATAACAGAACAGAATCGGTCAAGTCAAAAGGGTGGACATAATAGATAATGTAAAAGCATAATACAAGGTGATCAATAATGGTTACCATAATGCCTCCCGCTATCTCTAATAGAATTGCCTATATCATCAGTTATAATAAAATTGAACAAAACAGTAAAGAACAAAACCAAAACATTGGAGACATTGTAGGGCTTCAAAAGTAGATAAAAATCATCGAGAATGGGCATCATAATGAATCTCACTATCTTCACAGTTGTCGCCTAAACTTTTGAACCTGGTACTATCCAGCAAAACAGAATAGGGGGACATCAGTCAAAAATAAGATGGTGAGAGCAACACAGGGCTTCAAATCAAGATAATGGAAAGTCAAAATGGGTTACTATAATATATCCTGCTATTTTTATTTATTTTTCCCTTAATTAAAAGGATAAAAATAAAAAAGTAAATAATGGAGTGGAGATTGAGATAAAAGAGGGCATAACAATGAAACAGCGCAGATCAAAACATAACCATTTAAGCAGAATAGTGTTTCACCACAAGATAATCCTGACATAATCGTAGTTACCATATTGTCTCTTTCCTTGGAATCCTTGAGTACAACTTCGTATATTGTAGCATTAAATATATCAAAACAATGTAAAACCATTTAAGAGAATGACAGCATTACAGGGTATTTAGAATCAACTAACAGAAAATGAACAATGGTTTCTGTATAATCTCCTTGTCTTTAAAAGTTTTTGCTTATACTATCGTACATAATAAAATCCAATAAGATACAATCCGTTTAGACCAATGGAGACAGAAGAACAAAAGCTTGATGAGACTTCAAAACAAGATGATACTAAATCAGTATTACCTATTAAGACGTCATTTTCTCCAAAATAGCTGTTCCTGTCATCCAATCTTCTCTGCCTCATTTCTGTTCAGCTCTTTTTCTGTCATTAGTTTGTCTTCTTCATTTTGTTCTCTGCTCCATTCATTGTGGCCTCCCCGCCACTATTTCTGGATTCTTTGTATTTTTCTTTTTTTAGAATATCCTGCAATACTCTCTGTAGAGTTGAATTGGTGGTTGCAAATTCCCCCAGTTCCTCTTTATCCTGGAAGCACCTTGCTTTCCATCAATTTCCAGGGACAGTTGTGCAGGATATCTCAATCTTGGCTGGAGATTATTATCTTTCAAAGCTTGAATTATTTCCCCCCACGCTCTTTGTGATTTGATGGTTTGTGCAGAGAAATCTGATGTAATTCTGATGGGTGTTCCCTTGTAAGTGGTCTGTTTCTTGTCTCTGACAGCTTTTAATACTCTGTTCTTGTATTGAACTTCTGGAATTTTTATTATTATATGCCTGGGTGTTGCTCTGTTTGGGTTGTAGGTGGCTGGGGTCCTGTATGCCTCATACATCTGAGTATCTTTACCTTTTGCTAAATTAGGAAAATTCTCCTGGATTATTTCTGTGAGTAGCTTTTGTAGTTCATTTGTTTGTGTCCCTACTTCTTCTTTTATGTTCTTAATTCTTAAGTTATGGATCCTCTTATCATCTTCTTGTCTTTGTATTATTGCTGTTTGTTTCTTTGTTATTTTTAAGAAGTTTTTCATTTCATTCTCAATATGGGAATTTTTAAAGACAAGTGTGTAGTATGTTATGGTAATAAAACAATAAAATGTTCAAAAATATGTGAGAAGCATGGAACACTTGAAGTTAATGAAGTTTTCTTGAAATGAGAAAGTATAGCATAAATTTTCTGAAAAACAATATGTTTGGGCAAAAATCAGAGTTTTGAAGAAGCAGGTATGCAGTATGGTAAGATCGCTAATTCAATAAAGTATGAAAAAGTAGTGAATCTCACACGATGCATACTAATCAGCTTTTTGATTACCTGATTTCCTGGATTAGAAAATAATCTGTATTTACTAAATAAAATCTATTTAATGTTTGAAGCTTGAGGAAATAATGACAACAAAACAGCACTAACATTGCCAGGACATTTAGAGACATTTCAAGGATTCACTATGAGACAGAAATTAGCAAATTAAACAATTGAAATGACATTATTGATTATTATTTACTTAAATAAAGTATTTTGCTTTCATCAGTGCTTAATTATCTTATATTAAATAAATATACTACACACATGTGTGTATAGTATATGTGTGTATATAGTAATTTCAAGTGGCAAAAATATGTGGACTTTTAAATAATGAGCTTTACTTTAGTTAAGAATAAAAGATTAAATTACTGTTCTGTCTTTAATATGCATTGGTTAATATCTAAAAGCCACAGCTAGTAAGGATCTAACAGTGAACATATAAAATACTGTAAGACTGAATGAAAGTATTTTCTTTCAAAGAGTAAATATGTTTATTTTGTTTTCCTGGTACAAGCTTTCATTCACCAACTGGAAGATTTAATCAACAGATTCCTAAAATGAAATGCAATCTCTCTAACTTATTAAATATTAAAAATAAAGTCACAAAAGATCTGAAATTTATATTTCAGCCCACATTCATAGAGTGAAAGAGGTTATATGCCTTTGCACATCAAGGGTGTCCGGATCTGTGCACTCCCGTGATGGTGTGTGTACAGGGAGGTCCTGCTGTACACTTGGGCCATCGTCAATTATAGACTGCTTAGCACATAGCAAGTTGCTATACATGCAAGATTTATTAATACAAAATATTGCAAAGAGACACACACAAGCATAAACACAAGATCAATTGTGTCAGAATCTTCTGAAAACTGTTAACCTTTCAAAAGACATTTTGGAATATATAAAGAAAACAAAAGCAAGGAGGAAAAAGGAAAAAGAACAAAAATATATGACAAGGGTGAAAATAGTATGATCCAAAATGTGAAACATTTCACAAAGTAACTAAATTTTTCAATAAACCAATGCTAAAAGGTAAAAGGAAAAAAATAATGATGAACAAGTAAATCCAAGCAAATAATTGCTTCAATTTAAACATGAGTGAAAAACATAATAAAATAAAATCAGTATACATGACTTGGATTCTGATTAAAACTTAGCAAAAATTAGGAGTTAAGATATTGAAATTTTAATGTAGGAAGTATGACATTTTAATAATAAATTAATGACATTTTTATTCCTTGCATGATAGCACTGTTGCTCTGTTAAAAATAAAATCTTGATCATGTTTGTTTATTTCTGTAATTAATTTAGAAACGTGTTAGTTTGAAAGGATGTTCAAGCATTTCTTTAAAATATTTTGGGAAACAAAACCCAGGCTAGAGGGAAGACAGTTGGATAAAACAAGAAAGAAAAATTGGTTTTAGTAGTTGAAACTAATTAATGAATACAGGAAACTTATTGTGCTGTTTACTTTTTTTTGCCAGGCAATTTTTTTTAGTACAAATCAATTCAAAAGAAATAATGCATAATGTATTTTAATTCTAGGGAAAAGTCAATGTTCTTTAAATTTAATTTACTCCTTAATAAAATCCAGTCTGGCTTTTGTCACAATCACTTAAAACAAATAGCTCTTTCTGAAGACTTTGTTTAGTTCTTCAGCTCCAAAGAATTCCTTTTTCAAATACTGCTTGCCAAGTGGACTTTATCATTTAACAAAACTAAAGTCAAGGGAACAGAAAAAAGAACCAAAATTAGTGTGCTAATCAATATTAAATTTATTTCCAAATGTTTAATTCTTCATGTGAAACACAAATAATCACACATATTCGTATTTCTGAGGAATTAAGAAAGCAGGAATATGTCTTACATTTACATACATATTTGCATGCCCTAACCATTTAGAAATGTGAATCAGGGGCTGGGTGTAAACTTTGTAAGTGGAGCACTTTCCCAGCATGTACAAGGTTCAAACCCCAGCATGGGGGGTGGGGGGGGATTCCTATTATTTTTATATTTCAGAAATTTTCTGGAAATGATTTTAAAATGTCAATTGTTGTTTTAGACAACTCATACTTTTGATTTAGATGCATCATTTATTCAAAAACAGATATTATTTCAAGTGCATAAAAATAAGCTTTTAGTATATGGAATGATGATATTTACATTTACATAATGCCAGTAAAATCAACCCAAACTTTAGTCCCGTTCCACCCTTGACAAACACATTGTATCCAAGACATGAAGGAACTGATCACATAAGTTAAAATATTCAGTAATTATTCTCTTTTTCTAGCATTACTGGCTCTAAACATCTTTTTCTGTACTAAGGAACTCTATAGATTCATTGCCTAGCCTGAAAACATACAGTTATATCCAAAATGAAATGAATATCAGCTTTGGAGCTTGAGGGAGGACCTGAAGATGTATATGCTTTCCCA